ATACTCTCTCTCTGTTATCTGAGTAGAAACACTTCACAGATGAATGAGAATACTCATAGTTTATAAGAATAAGAGTTGTTATAGAAAAAGAAAAAAGAAGATGAGATTTCACAGACAGATCTGAGATATTTATACTACTCTAGAGAGGTTTGTTTGTGTGGCGGGCTGCGCCTGATTAATCATATAGACTATTCCGTTACACTTCATAGATTCCTACCGTTTCAATTCTCGGTCGCTCCACAGATTTCTACTGTTCCGATTCTCGGTCGCCGATCCTCGGCTGAAAACCTACGGAATTCCTATTCTTCCGCTCCGAAGCTCCACCGCGTACGCCACTGCATACATGTATAAATATTCACTTTAATCACTGATTCTCACACTTTCTCTTTCTTTCCTTCTCTAACATTTTTCTCTTTGTTATATAAGTTCTATTTATTATACTGATCTATTCAGCATAGGCCTCTTATACTAGAAAAATGTTTATTATCTTCTTATTAGAAACAATTATTCATGCATTATCTTCTCATTAGAAATGATTATTCATTGAGAGATATCTGAACATGTAACAATATATAGAAAAGAGAAACAGTTAAGTAGACACTGAGTTCTCAGATAGAAGCTTACTCATCAGTTATTCTGACCTCATAATAAGATTTTACAAGAGAATGTCAGTGAAAGACCTGAGAGTTCTGACACTCAGATATATAAGATATTCATATAATTACACTTCTTCAGATTTCACAGATATTATGTATTTAATAAACAATATAATCATGTCTAATGATAATATAGAAGAACTCTCAAGTGTGAGTATAGAAGTGATATCACAGTGACTCTGAGTAATGTTGAAATTACAACAGTAATAAATAGCTGATATGCATGCAACTTAACAATATTAATATGAAGAGATTCAATAATTATTATAATAAGAAACTTATGCAACTTCAATATCTACAGAATCAAGTATAAAAGCACTGAAAGAATACTTAGATACTCTTACATATTTTAATACTTCTGATCTCACTCTCTACTCATTATAAAGAATGAAAATACTTGTAAAACTGAGTATAGATAAAGATGTTATTGATTTATTAAATCAATCAAGATTGATATATTAATGAATAATTGAAGAATTATGTGAAATAGAAGTTTTATTCATGAATGAAAGCATGTAAATCAGTGTTATAAATATCTGATAATATTATCAAACATCTTGATATTCTGTTCTGAGACACTGCTATGCAACAGAAAGTATTAGATTGATTACAGAGTATCTGACAGAGAAACACTTCTCTTATAACATTCATTCCTGACTTCAATATCAAGATTCTAGAAGCAGGTGATCAATCTTGAGAGAATTGAATGAAGATTAGTATACTTAAGAAGACATTAACTTTCAAACTCTTACAGGCTCTTGTAAGTGTAGACAAAGATCAGACTTATGAAGATTTTTACATACAGCTCTGAACATTGAATAACTGTCTTATCAAGCTCAAGAGTATACAGAACAGTGACAGAAGATGTTACATCTCAGTCACTTATATATCTACATTGAAGAGAAGTAACAGCAATGATGCAGATGTCATGAACTGAATAGATTCAAATGTCTATATACAAGCAAGAGTTTCTGCTGTTTAAACAGGCTTTTAAGTCTCTGAAATCACTTCTGAAGAAGTTGCTGATCAATGTCAATGTGAAGTATATATCAACTGTAACTGATCAGAACACATTGCTTTCAACTGCTGATCAGTCTACATATCTTCTTGCTTGAAGAATGATTCAGCATCTGTCCGCGTCAATCACATTGCAGTGAAGAAAGATTTGAAAAATAACTACAAGAATGTCTCAGTAAAGCAGAGAAAAGATTAACTTCTGTTCAAATTCATAAACAGAAGCTTGAAGAGATCAGACAACAATGATTTGAAGAGAAAATAATAATAAATGCAATTCTTGTATCTACTGTGATTGATAATATGTATAATATGAAAGTCATGATAGACAGCAGTCTATGCTACTATGCAATGATAAAATCTTCAGTTGTAAGATGTCATAACCTTCAGTGTATTCTCTTATCAAAACCCTGACTTCTTGCAGAATTTGATGATCTGAAAGACATTTGTACTCATTACATGATGAAGTTGACCATATATGTGAGAGAATATCAATATGAAGATATCTATGCATATGAAGTTGATAATCTTGATTATAATCTTATGTTAGAACTTGTCTGACTATTTGAATAAGATATCTTATTGAATACTTGAAACAGAAGCTTGATATTCTTTAACAATGATAGAATTCACAAAGATAATATTCACAAGATCATGAATCTGACACAGATCTCTGTCAATATATATAAAATGCTCTGAAAAAGAAGTTGCTGATAGCAGAATCATGTGATAATCTATTTCATCAGTCTGGCTGATATTAAAAAGACTCTAGAAAAGTTATCCTGTGTTACAATAATAGATTCTTGTATAAAACTCTCTTAATAATATCATGAATATTTAGATGTCTTCTGATAAGATAATATTATAAATATACTTCTCTTATGAGATTCTGAAGTGAATCACAGTATCAAGTTAGAGAAGAAGAATGATAAGAACTCTGAACTGTTATAAGGTCTTCTTTACAATATGTTCTGAGATGAACTCCTTCTTCTTCAAAAGACACTCAATAATCTATTGAATAAAGAATTCATATATGTTAGTAATTCTTTCACTGCAGTCTCTATTCTCTTTGCAAAGAAATCAGATAAAGAACTCTGATTCTGTGTGAACTACTGAGGTCTAAACAGATTGACAAAGAAAGATTATTATCTCTTATCTCTCATCAATGAAACTCTAGCATATATCAGATGAGCTCAATAATTTACAAAGCTAGATATCATCACTGCATTTCATAAGATTTATATTACTGAAGAAGATGAATAGCTTACAGTATTCTGAACATGTTATGACCTCTTTGAATAAGTAGTCACACTCTTTGAACTGGCTAATGCTCTCAGTACATTTCAGAAGTATATTAACTGAGCACTCTGAGATTTTCTTAATGAGTTTGTATTTACTTATCTAGATGACATTCTCATCTTCACTAATGAATTCAGAAAAGAATATCAAGAGTATGTGTAAAGAGTATTACAATGACTATGAGAAGCAGAACTATCAATTGATATTAACAAATGTGATTTTGAAGTTAAGAGTACTAAATACTTATTTTTCATCATAGAAGCTGATAGGAGAATTTGAATGAATTCTGAGAAGATCTCTGTCATTCTTGAATGAAAAGCTTCATGTACTGTGAAAGATGTATGAAGCTTCATTGAATTCACTAACTTCTATCAGTGATTTATATGAAACTTCTCAGATATTATAAGATTACTTACAGAACTCACTAAGAAGAACTCAGTATTTCAATGATCAGCAGACACTGAAGCTGCATTTATATAAATGAAGAAGATGTTCATTAATATCTCTCTGCTAATAATATTCAATTCTGATCATAAGACAGTTATTGAAGCTGATTTCTCTGACTATATCATAGAAGAAGCTATATTGTAATATGATGATGAAGATGTCTTACAATCATGCATCTTCATAGCCCCGGTGGCCGAATGGTTAATGCGGCCACCCGGTAGCGCCTTGGCGTGGGAAACCAAGGCGCGTGGGTTCGAAACCCGCAGAGAATACATTAAATCCGGAACTCAAGCACCTCAGGTTTCTAATAAATACAGAGGTGTACAAATCACTTCAATGAATCACTCTATGTTCCTGAGCTGGGAAGTTATTATCGCATGTATCTAATTGTCACTTCTTTGTATTTTCCTATGTTCTTGTTATCTTGGCATGATCTCAACATCTGTATTTCCTTCTGTATAACTAACACTTGACCTGTATTTAACATCACGCAAGGACTCATCATAAGCTCCGCTTGCATATGAGTATAATGAAAGAATAATAATAATAATAATAATAATGCATCTTCATATCTAAGAAACTGAGTTCTAATTATAAGATCTATAATAAGAAACTTCTTATGATTATATACTGTTTAAAAGAATGAGACTCTGAACTTCAAAGTATCTCTGAATTTGAGATAATCACAGATTATAAGAATCTCAAATACTTCATAACTATCTATAAACTCACTGAATGACAGATATAATAATCTGAGTTTCTAAGCTGCTTTCATTTTATAATACACTATCATTCTGACAGTCAGAACTCAATGACAGATACACTCTTATAATAAGAACAAGATATACTGTCTGATGTGACACATACACACTAAGGGCCTGTTCAGTGCGTTCGTACTTTTTGAACGCAATAGTGGATCTCATTAAAAATAGTGTATTTACCAATTATTTAGTAGCAAGCCGGTGTTGCGCCATCACACTATTTCATAATTGAGATCACTTCACACTGGCTTTTTTTTTAATTTCACATTCATCAATGCGTCCGCGTTGAAATCATATTCTCTCAAATCTATGATTGATTTGCCTATATTTAACTGTCTTTATTAGCTAGAATTTATGAAAGCAGTGAACAAGAATGTCGCAGTATGATATCTCAATGCAATATCTGAATGTGAAGAATGACAATACTCAAATCTCTACAATTCCAATCTCACTGAGCCAATGATCAGATTCTTAATTATTATTATCCTCTCAAACACCCTCTCAAATGCGCTCTGAAACACCCTCTTATCAAACACCTACTATCTCTCAAAAGTGAACACTTGCTTCTCAAATCAGATGTCCCAGAATATCATGGAGTCTCATGATGAAAAAGGCCCTGCTTACTGAACTCTTGAAGATGAAAAAGGAAGGATTGAATACTGACAATGATAACTTCAAACCCGCGGGTTGAAACCTTGCCACACAGGCTGTCAAGCAGTCAACAGGTCAGACAATAATCAAAGAAGTATGCAATAATCAGTGAAGAAAGATTAAACAAATTTGAATGCTTTGAATGAGGCATAAAAATCAGATATCCAGCTGAATGTACAATCACAGGCGTGAAACCTATATCAATGATAAAGAGGTTATGAATGAGTATTTCTTCAAACATCCTGACCTTGAAATCTTTCAAGAATGTGGCCCTGAATTTCAAGAACTTACTAGAGAATTGCTTGATGACAGGCTTGCCACTGACCAGTTTGCAATTGAATATCATGCAATGATATCTGAAATGAGAGAATCTTCTGTGATAAATTCAGAAACTGGAGAAAGTTCATCATCTTCTGCAATAAACCTGTCAGTCTTCAGAAGTATCAATCATGCAAAAAAACACTCAAAACCAGAGAATATTGATGAGAATATTCAAAATCTGACTGCAGCTGTAAACAGCCTCAGTCAGGTTAATGTGTAGATTGAAGTTGAAAGAGAAACTGAGTGAGTCATCAAGCTATTCATGAGTGAGGTGCAGAATCTACTGTCAGAAGATTGAAAGGTTGACAGCGAGATTCCTTATCAATGATATGCTATAATTTCACATCATTTTCTCAACATTCAAGAAGCTCAGCTGTATCTAGGTTTGAAATATAGCTCAATCAGTGTTCGGCGAGATCATATTATGCAGATGTTGAATGAGATGCCACAGCCGCAGTGAGAGTAGTAGAAGAAATGATGGGAAAAGTAGTGATGAGAGTAGTGATAAGAGTAGTGATAAGAGCAGTAGTAATAATGCTTTTGAATCATTCTTTTTGTATCTTATTCCTTTCAAAATAATCAAGAACATGGCTGGATTTTGCTCAATATTACAATAATAATGAATTACACTTACAAACATGTGTTTTAAAACATCACAACTTTTTGTGTGAGATGATTAGGTGATTTAGAGCATTTTATTGACTCATAAATTATAACATGGTATTATATACAATGAATACATCAATATATTACCATTTCGTATTTTTGAAAGTGAAATTATGTGTAGAATTCAACTATTTTTGTTAAGATACATGCAAGCAATCTTGATTCATATGTCAATTGCATGTGACTTGCTGATTAATCTTCCATATTTTCAATATATCTCTTATAGAACTCTCATATTTTCTCTGCAATCTGATCTCTTCTTCTAATCATCTCATCACTATTCTCTCTTTTATTTATTATATTTGACTGTTCTGGCTTCATTTCATCATTCAAATCCTCCGGATTAATATCATCTAGGCCTTCATACTTATTTATGAAGTTATGAAGTGCTGCCAATGTGAAAACAAGATTGATTTGAGTGATAATGAAGAATTCATCTCTTTCTCAATTGTATATTTGAAATCACTGTTTGAATACTCTGAAAACTCGCTCAATTACACTCTGCAAACTGGCATGCTGAAGATTGAATAATTTCTCCTTATTAGCAGGTCATTTATCTGCCTTTTCAAACTCCTTGAGATGATATCGCACACCAGAATAAGGAATCAATATCATGGAGGCTCTTTTTGAATAACCAGCATCTGCAAGAAAATAGCAGGGCTTCTTCACTGAAAAGTTATCATACTCTTGAGCCAGGTTAAAAACATGTGTATCATGAGCAGAACCTTCCATTCCTGAGTATATATACACAAAGTTCATCTTAAAATCACATGCTGTCAGAATGTTCTGTGAGATTCATTCTTTTCAATTTCATCAGTCAGATTGCTGATTAGAAGAAATGAATATTGAAAGATGAGTGTCATCTAATGCTTCAATACAACCTCTAAAGAATGGCCACTGCTTAGAATTGCCGCTGAGCAAGTCTTTGCTATATTTCATAGAAGGTTTTGACAATTGCACAAGCTGGCTGTAAAGCACACAGAGTGCTTTCAACATCTCATGAAATACTCTATATAAAATGAGTGAGTATTTTTAAAACAACAAAAGTCATATTATGATTATATGAGAAGCTAATTCTTACTTTGAAACTGTATCAAGTGAATGCTCAAACCTTTCCACAGCACCTTGATATGAAGATTCTTGTACAATAATATAGAGAAATATCATTGCTTTCTCTTCCACCTTCATCGCGCCTGTAACACCGGATTCAGAGATAGTTGTATGCTTTTTGAGAAGGATAATGAATTGAATGAATGTTTCTCAATGAAGGTGTGTGACATTCTTAATACAATTAGAGTGAGTATTTGAATTCAGCAGCTGAGCAGTATACAGAGCACTGTTGAAAGATCTTTCATATAATATTCTTTTCTGCAACATCAAAGAGGTCCTCATCATCAGATTCATCATGACTATTTTGGCAAGCAGTTGTTGATGAGAACTGATATACTGTTGAATTGTAGTTTGTAGAATCTGCTCATTCACCTTGTCATCATTCTGCTGTTAACTATTTTCCATGCTGATAATCTTTGCTGACAATATTCTTCTGTAGAATGAAGAAAGAAGGAGCTTACAAAATATGTTCTTTTTAAATGGAGTTCAGAGTTCATTTAAAAAGAACATGTTTTTGTAAGCTTCTTTCTAATCAATATTAGTTAACTGTCTTCACTATGAACACTATTCTACACTATATTGCCTCTAAAAGCGCTATTCTACATCATCACACGCCATTGAAGTTAAATATGGCTTATTCATAAGATCTTGGCAAAAGATGCAAGTACAGCCGCTCAATCCACTGAACACCTGGCCTTTTTCATCTGTACTTTGTAAAAAGCAGCTGTACTATTAGTACAGACGCTCTGCCCACCGAACAGTCATGATATTGGGGCCGTACTTTTTAAAAAAAGTGAAGATCTGTACAAAAAGAACGAGTACACACGGACGCACCGAACAGGCCCTAAATGAATTGAGAACATCAGCTCTTAAATCTGAAGATATTAGTTGATTATAATGAGATCACTCATGATACTATATATACTGCTTTAATTAGAACACTCTCTCTCTGAACTGACACTGATATCTTCACTTCTTCTACACTGAATGAACTGTGATATATAGCAGCTCAGGCTGATAAACTTCTTCAGACTCTCACTGAAGCAGTATAATAAGAAGTGTCTTGATTTTCTTCAGAATTACATATAAAGACTGACATCTTGAAATATTCAATAGATGACAGTAATGCTCTGTAATTTCATAAATAACACTGAGTTTCTCACTCTGAACTCTTACACATCTGAATAATATAAGAGATGCATGATTCATATATAATTAATTATTTAGGCTGTGAATAACTGTACTGAATAATCTCTCAAGAATTCTACTGATCTGAGATATTAAATAGCATCAGATATTTTATTTGAAACTGCAATTATTGTTCTTCTATCATCTTATAAAAGAACTGTAGAAAAGACCTGCTGAAACTGCTTAATATCTCTGATAAAATCTGATAAGATGTGATAATTGACTTCACTATTAATCTCTCTGAGAGTAAGAGTTGTAGAAACATTCTGATTATTATGAACTGATTGAGTAAAGATGTAATATTGAAATCTTGTAATAAGATGAATACTGAACAAGTTACTGAAGCTTTTCTACAGAGTCTATTCTATTGAATGCATGAATTACTGAGATCTATAGTATCAGATCAGAACTGTTAATTTATAAGTACTCTCTAAACAAGAATCTGTCAAGTTCTTAAGATTATATACTGTCTGTTAACTATCTATCATTCTGAGACTGATGATGCATCAGAATAAACAATTCAGACTGTGAAGAATTATCTTTATAAGTTCTGTAATTACTTATAAGACAATTGATATTATCTTCTTCTACATACTGAAGTTACTATCAATGACTGAGATGTCATTTCAACAGGTGTAAGCCTGTTCTTTCTCACACACAGATATCATATAAAAGTATTGAATCTTCTAGAGACTACACACTTTATACTGAACTCTCACAGTTTAATTCAGATCACTAATAATATAGTGATAAAGCTCTGAGACACTTATAACTGAGCAGAAGCCTTCATAATAAGTATTAAACAGAATTAAGAAGACTGAACTAATATTCACTGAGATCTCACTGAGTAATACAAGATAGAAGATCTGATATAATTGAATCTTAAGAATATATGAATCACATGTTCATCTTATACACTAAATTACTGTTATATTAAATATAAAGTGATAGAAGTTCTAGACAGTTATAATTACTATCTTGATACATTATCAGAAATTCATGATATCTTTCATACAAGCTTGCTCTGCTACACTGTCACTGATTCATTCTCTTCTCAACTGACTTTCAATTGACAGTTATCAGAGATCATAGAAGAAGACAATGAACTTGAGTGAGAGATTGAAGATATTCTTGATAAGAGATCTTACAGCTGCAGCTGATAATATCTTATGAAATGAGTCAGCTATAATCACCTGATCTGAACTCTGAGCTCTGTGTTATCTGAGACAGCAGCTCTTGACTGATGAAAACTACACGCTCACAACTCTATATCACTTCTGAAAAGAAAGGACTAATGTGACGGGCTGCATCTGATCAATTATATAGACTATTCTGTTACACTTCACAGATTTCTATTATTTCAATTCTCAGTCACTTCACAGATTTCTATCATTTCAATTCTCAGTCACTGATCCTCAGCTGAAAACCTATGAAATTTCTATTCTTCCGCCCCGAAGCTCCACCGCGTACACTATCACATACACATATAAATATTCACTCTGATCACTGATTCTCACACTTTCTCTTTCTTTTCTTCTCTAATGTTTTTCTCTTTGTTATATAAGTTCTATTTATTATACGGATCTATTCGGCGTAGGCCTCTTACAGTTTACACTATAAGTGATATCACAGAACAGTCAGATCACTCTAGTAAATAAAGAGTGATTATGAATTACAGACCTGAATCTTTCTATATAACTATAAAGAGTGATTGCAGACTGTAGATATCTTGATTCTACAATTCTACAGTGTTAAAGAATAATAATTCATAAGAATGAGTGAAAGATTAACTCACAAATACTTCTCTTTGATAAGAATAATCTCACAGAAAGTGATTTATCTGCAGAATGAATTAGTGTGATAATCACATAAGAATCTCACAGAAATAATTGAGAGTCAATCAGAACTCTTCAGTATGAAAGATATAAGATAAATCTGTATAATAGTCAGAGAAAGATCTGCAGACTATAAAGAATCTCACAGAATAAGAAACTGAGTAACAGACTCTTTTCTCTTTATAGTAATAAGGGATTTTTTCTCACTAAGGTTTTTTTTATAGATATAAAGAATTTTTAGTGAGTATCACTGCAGTACTGAGTCTGATTCTATGAAATCACTCAGTGAAAGACTTCATGAACAAAGTCTTAGAGAGAGAGAAGTATGTAAGAAATCTCACTTCTCACAGATTCTTTATCTCTATTTCTATCTCTTATGTAATTAATAGAGTTAGCAGCTCTTGACTATACATAACTATAT